GGCGATTCCATGGCCGCGTCTGGTCGGCAAACGCTGCTTCTCTCGACGGCGTCAGATCCGAGGCAACGGCAACGATTGGTGACTCTGGTTGAAGCTGGTCAGCATTTGCAGCCGATCGAGTATTGTCCGGCGGAGGCTGTTGATCATATGCCTTGCGAGGATCCGAGGAGGAATAGTCAGCTTAGTAGAGAGATGAATTTCTATCGGGAGAGACATTGTCCGTTACCGGAGGAGACTCCTCTCTGCTTGATTCCTCCTCCTTCTGGTTATAAAATTCCTGTTCCTTGGCCGGAGAGTCTGCACAAGGTTATTTTCTTATTGGATTCGAGTTTGCAAAACTATGGTGTTGGTACTGGGTTTGTAGATAATTTCTATTCAGGAGATTGTTGGTGGATTATTGCCTAGGAATGTACTTATAAGCGAATTTCTACGAAGCTTGAACGATAGTGTGTTCCATGTCAAGTGTATGTCTAGAATGCTATGAGCTAGTTTGATTTCTGGGTGATGTTTGGTTTTCCATTTGGTGAATTGGATGTTGAACATGTAGTAGTTGCTCTCTTATTATGATTTTGATAGAATGTTAAAAGCTGGGTGTTTAAATTTTCAGATTTGGCATGCAAACATGCCATATAACAAAATTGCTGACCGGAAAGGTCACCAAGGATGGATGAAAAGAGAGGGGGAACACTTCACTTTCCCAGGCGGTGGCACCATGTTTCCTGGAGGAGCAGGCCAATACATTGAAAAACTTGCACAGTATATTCCGCTAAATGGAGGAACTCTAAGAACTGCCCTTGACATGGGATGCGGGGTGAGAACTATCATACTGTTTTTTTATTCACCTCTTGCTCTGTATTGTTACAATACTATTGTAAACCTTTGCAGGTAGCAAGTTTTGGAGGCACTCTATTGTCTCAAGGCATTCTTGCACTCTCGTTTGCTCCAAGAGATTCGCATAAATCACAAATTCAATTCGCCCTGGAAAGAGGAGTGCCTGCATTTGTTGCCATGCTTGGCACTCGTAGACTCCCCTTTCCTGCATTCTCGTTTGACTTGATGCATTGTTCCCGATGCTTGATTCCTTTTACAGCTTACAGTGAGTCGTCTGGGTTATAGAACTCCTCTTCATATGTCGTCTGTGTCGCCATTTGTAAACAGCAATTATTCTGATCGTGCTTGGTTATTTGTCTGCAGATGCAACTTACTTCATCGAAGTAGATAGGTTATTGCGCCCTGGAGGGTATCTTGTAATCTCTGGACCACCAGTACAATGGCCTAAACAAGACAAAGAATGGGCTGATCTTCAGGCTGTAGCTAGAGCTTTGTGCTATGAGCTAATTGCAGTTGATGGAAACACTGTCATCTGGAAGAAGCCTGTTGGAGATTCATGTCTACCCAGCCAGAATGAGTTTGGGCTTGAGTTGTGTGCCGAGTCTGATCCGCCAAGTGATGCATGGTGAGTTTCCTCGGAACAATACTTCCCTATGACCTTCTCGTTCAATCCTTGCATAATTTTGTTGATGTGAATTTTGAACCGTAATGAATTGTTTAAAAAGGAAAAAAAATTGAAGTCTTTGTTTTCATCTCCTTGTTTCAGGTATTACAAATTGAAGAAATGTGTTACTAGGCCATCGTCCGTCAAAGGAGAATATGCTTTGGGAACTATTTCCAAGTGGCCGGAAAGGCTTACTAAAGTTCCTTCTAGGGCCATTGTCATGAAAAACGGGTTGGATGTGTTTGAAGCAGATGCAAGGCGGTGGGCAAGACGAGTTGCTTATTACAGGGATACTCTGAACTTGGAGCTGAAACCTCCAGCTGTCCGCAATGTTATGGACATGAATGCCTTCTTTGGAGGTTTTGCCGCAGCTCTTGCAACTGATCCTGTGTGGGTTATGAATGTTATTCCAGCTCGAAAGCCATTAACTCTTGACGTGATTTATGACAGAGGTCTCATCGGTGTTTACCACGATTGGTTAGTCACTTTTGGTGTTTACATGTTTGTTCAAAGCTTAAGACTTGGATATCATTTGTTCTGTATCCTAGCCATTGCCGCCAGCATTGGGGATCAAAATATCTTCTATATTCCATAGTTGTTTAGAGTCAAAACCCTTTTCCATTGGTTCTTGCAGGTGTGAACCTTTTTCAACATATCCCCGTACGTATGATTTCATCCACGTATCGGGAATTGAATCACTGATAAAACGACCAAACTCAAGCAAATCGAGGTATAACTCACCACGTAAAACCATTCGCGGTTCCTAACACAAATCCCTGTCTTATCCGCTATACCTTTACTGAATTGTTGCCTTATATGCAAATACAGGTGTAGCCTAGTAGATCTAATGGTAGAGATGGACAGAATATTGCGACCAGAAGGAAAAGTTTTGATACGAGACTCTCCTGAGGTGCTAGACAAAGTGGCAAGAATGGCCCATGCTGTAAGATGGTCTTCTTCCATACACGACAAAGAACCCGAATCACATGGAAGAGAGAAGATCCTTATTGCAACCAAATCTCTCTGGAAATTACCATCGAACTAGCACTGAATGACACACACACACAAACA